ATTGGTTTGTTGTTCTTTCATGACAGGATCCTTAGGTTTGGCAAAAATATGCCCCAAAGTCTGAAAAGGTTTTTGAACAACTTTAAAGTTGTGGCTGTTCAAAATTCTCTTGATGGGTTCCGTAACACCCTGAATGTAAGGAATAACAGCAAAACCAGTAGCTGGTTCTCTTTCATCAGGAGTGCTACTAGTTGGAACTGGTTCTCAGCAGTTATGGAGAAAAGTTTTTGTATAGCATTTGCCTGTAAGACATTAGAAACATAGTTCCTCTCCTCAGCCTTCGAATTGACTGAAGATGGTAGACAGTCAGCCCTTCTGAATAAAGTTTTGACTACAGACTTTCTTATGGCAAAATAGGGTGGTGAAAACTGACAGACCAAAAGTATCTAAGGTGATTTGTCACTAGAGAATTATCAGGTTGTAATAAAAGCAATCTCAATAATGATCACAATATTGTGGCAAATTAAAAGATACAGGTCATCTATGTTATCCTTGTTATACAGTGCGGGCTTGGTCTCTTCCACTTTAATGTTCAACTGCCTCTGTGGTTTCTTGGCTTTATACTGCATTTGAAAATACAGACACAAGAAAACATTAGGAATTATTTCGATGAAAAAAACAGAAAACTAGCAAATATTGTTTAATGAAAGGGATTCTTAGAAACTGAACCTTACATGCTCAAGAATTAAAGACTTTGCAGGCCCAAAATTCTTCATGTATACAGTAGCTTTGTCAACAACTGACCTTGAATTTGATTGATTCCAGGGAAACTGTGCTTGGAATTCCTTACCCCATTTCTCCAATCAACATATATGTCTAACACATCTGAGACTGGTCACCAGCTTAGAGAATGTCAATTAACCCTTTATGCCCTAACATCAGTATCTATATTCTCCAAACTTTTCTCTATAGTCATTTCTTTAGGTTCTGACAAGGAGAATTCCTAAAACAATCAAAGCTTCTACGCTTGGCAATCATTTCTTTATTTTTATGATCTCCCTGAATGATTCAGCAGTGTTACTGTGAGGAGAAATTAGATTCTGGTCACTCTTAAAGTTTGAAGGGTTAATTCCAAACTGTGCAAACAGTTGAAACTGAATACAGAGTGCTAACATCTAACATTTATCTTTACTAAAGAATCATATTATTTTTCCTGCAATTTGAAGCAAATTTACGCTGTTAAAATTCTTCAGATTACAATATTTTTCAATCTTGGAAAAAATTTTGCCTACGAACGACGAAAAAATATTGTACCTATAACCTGGCTACAACTAATGTTTTCCCAACAACCAAAGTTACAAACTAAATGAGTCTTTACCTTTCTTTCAAAATTTTCCAAAGTTGAAAGATCAGGTTCATGAGTAGATGAAATAGATGTCACATAGGCGATCCATTCCTCAACTAACTCGGAGGCACTCAAATGGTACAAGACGCAAAGTTCCTTCACTAATGTGCGCAAAAAAAAACAATATATCAGAAGATTTCATTTCTGATTAACTATTGGTAAGAGTTCCACCTCATGGATGGAAAAGGGTATCATTATTTTATACTAACTACCTACATTTATCTAGTACAGAGAGATCATCTATGGAGACAGAAAACTCCTCAAATTCTCGCTCGATTTCCACATCAGTCACCATGTTGGATTTCTTCCTTGCTGGTGTTTGGCGCCAATCTTTACGTATACTTCATTACGAGGCTGACCGTGAGCGATCGACTTAGAGCTGGGAATGAACGCTTTGGTCGTTATTCGATAAGAAATCGAACCAAACTTAGAGCTTCGAATTACGAGTGAAACATTATCATTCAAGTAGCAACTTTGTTGGTTCGCGATGGCGTCTGATGAACCAGAAATTTATGGCTACTACTACGACAATGAGGAAGATAGAGGGTTGCTTGATCCTGCCTGGGAAAGACAACAAAAAAAGGTACGTTAATAGCTATAAGCTGCAGTACCGTGACAAAGCAACAGCGAGTGCATGATTTACTTGTTTCCATCCTTACGGAAACTATTCTAATTTTTAACATCTTATATATCCCAAGATCCATTTATTTCTTTTATTTTGTACGCAGACGTTTACAGCCTGGTGCAATTCTCATCTTCGAAAAATTAACGTCCAAATTGACGAAATTGACCAAGACTTTAGCGATGGCTTGAAACTGATGGCTTTGCTGGAAGTAATATCAGGCGAAAGACTTCCTAAACCCGAGAAAGGACGGCTGCGATTTCATAAAATTTCCAATGTCAATAAAGCCCTAGACTTTGTGGCCAGCAAAGGAGTGAAACTAGTGTCGATTGGAGCTGAAGGTATGTTAGAGGTTGGCAGTGTTATGGGGGGTGTTGTTCTCTAAGGAAACAAGCATGGACTCGTTCACCTATATACTATGTTTTTTTCAGAAATTGTGGATGGTAACTTAAAGATGATTTTAGGAATGATCTGGACGATAATTCTTCGGTTTGCGATCCAAGATATAGCAGTAGAAGGTAAAGCTTGGCAAATATCCACTGTTGATAACTTCCTAGTTTGCAAGAGTTTTTAACGTAATTGTCGTCTTTCCGTCTCATTTGTCGATAGAATTGTCTGCAAAGGATGGCCTGCTGCTTTGGTGTCAGCGTAAAACTGCTCCATATAAAAATGTCAACGTGCAAAACTTTCACACAAGGTAGATTATTCGTATTGATTCGTAGCGATAGCTGCAATTGTATGCATGTGGTATTCGTGTTTATCTATATGTGTGTGTGCATATGTTATCTGATTCTTGCGGTGAGCGATTGTTCCGACAATAACTTAACTAACGCGAACACTGTGGATTTTCTTGTAGTTTTAAAGATGGCTTGGCTTTTTGTGCTCTTATTCATCGTCATCGGCCGGACCTTATCGATTATAACTCCCTGAGCAAGGTAAGATGTTGTCACTAACCGGACACTCCGTTAGGTGCTTTGTACTTAGCAAAAAGTCGATGCTACGCGAAAACCGCAGGGTGTGTCGTATATTGGATCAATTGAATGTCATTTGAATGTCATGCGTGATCTAGTGCACTTTCGTGATCTCAGCTTTGTACAAGAGAACTAACAAACGATTTTGATTTTTATCGAGTGCCAATACGAGTGAAATTTTTTTAAACCTCAGTCAGGTTTAGTTGATGTTGCTACTTTATGCATGCATGCGTAACTACCTCTGTTTCCTCTCTAACACATATTGCCATTAAAGGAAAAGATAGTCACTATTGTCAAATGATATGTACCAGTTTTCCATATTTATATGGTTCAATAGCTCAGAGTTATTTTTAAAACCTGAAAGTCTAATTGCCATTTAAAAAAACATAATTGAACTTCACAGGTGGCTACGTAACTAGTTTATAAATATGTCTTACCACATTCTGGAAATTTTAGTGGAGTATCTTTTGAATTTGGTTTGATCATTCATGCACCAAAGAGCAATATTTTATGCAATGATATTCTATTTAGATCGAATTGTTTCATGCCTGTGTATGATTGAAACTTTGAAAATTAACAATTCTCTGGAGGCTTATGATGCTCAACAAAAAAAAATTAAATACCTCAAGCTTTGAATGATATATTGTTAGTACCTCTTGTAATTAGGAAAGCTGCCCTGGTGCCTTGAAATATTTGTTGTAATAAATTTATACCAAACTCAAAGACTATTTTAAAATTTTCTCCCTTTTGGCAAATATGCTGATCAAAACTTTATTCTTGTAGCACCTGTCTATCATTTTATTTAAATTCATTGTGTGCTATATCTTTCTTATTTGCATGAAATTTTAACAAACCAGTCAATAATGATGTGTCAGTTTTCTAGATATTTTTTCCCATCTTGACCAGAAGCAATTTTATCTAAAGAATGGGTTCTCAAAATACACAATTTTCACTTTCCCACATCTAAACTGAAATTATAAAGAGATGCTTTTACAGATCTGCTCTAGTCACTGAATTGAAAGTTGTATCATTCTGTTTCATTTTGGTGGATAAAGTTCGAGAAAGTTTGCTTTATAAAAGCTGTTTGGATGAAAGAAGGGTTAATCTTGAAAATTCAGCTCTCTGAATCCAATTCACTCTCACAGTAACTCTTTTTCTTGTTTTCTGATGCTAAAAAGAACACTCTTTAGAAAGAAGTGATTTGATTCACTATAGGTACAGTTGGGAGCTTACCTGCTTGTCTGGTCCCATCGTAATACATGACTCTTTCTACATTTTTATGATCAGGAGAGGCCTTTGGAAAACTTGAATTATGCCTTCGATGTTGCTGAGAAACATCTGGACATTCCCAAAATGCTTGACGCTGAAGGTAGGTTAGGCTATGACACTGCCAAGGATGATATGTTCTCGTCAGGATCCTTGGTGATACCAAAGAGCAAATAATGAAAAACCATTTATTTTTCTACTGTTCTTTCTTGTTGATAGACATGGTGAACACTGTAAAGCCTGATGAAAGAGCTGTGATGACTTATGTCTCATCCTATTACCATGCCTTTACCAGCTCTCAAAAGGTATCTGTGTGACTGAGGGTGTTAATCATTACTCAGCAGTAGCAGACCAGACAGGTTCATTTATGAAGAGGAGTTAATCATTGATGAGAAATTTCTCTCCAGATTAGTCAGTTCCGATTTTGTATCATTCCACTGTGGTAAAGGAATTTTTTTGTTAAACTTACCAGTATAGTAAGTTTAACAATATGCTGACCGATATTCTGTTGCCTGAACAATGCAAAACCTCTGGCGAAACAAATGAATAAACTTCAAAACTGGTTTTTTGTGTCTTTACAGTTTTGTACTTCACAGCTATGTAACATGATCATTTTGACCACATGCTAAATGAGACACTTTTTGGCTGCCAAATGGTACTTTCAATGTGCAAAGAAATGGTCAAGGAGAACTTGCTAGGCGTTAAGGCCAATTATTTCAAATTTTAAATGCAGCTACCAACCAAAAAACCCCCAAAAAATTTTGTCATAGGTACTTAGATCCCCTCACCCCTAAAAGGAACAAGTATCTAATTTCTCTTTACATAAACACTACTGAATGTAGCATTAAGGTTTGGAGAATAAAGGGAAGTAAAGTACCATGGGAAATGTATAAAGAACTGGACGGAGAACATGCACTCTGTTGTTGAGGATTAACAACAATTCATTTTGATGGTGTTTATAATTGTCACTCAGTGCCATGTATTTTTTCCTTGTGATACACAGGCTGACACAGCTGCCAAGCGTATTGGTAAGGTTCTCAATATAAACAGAGATAATGAGAAGATGATGGAGGACTATGAAAAAGTTGCAAGTGATGTATGTATCCCAGATTTGTTTACTTGCCAACATGTGTTTTGGTTTAACTTGTATTTCACAGTCAGAATATATAAATCTTGAAAATGAGGTAAGGTGCCTCTTGAAGGGAGTGGTTTTTCTTGTAAAATCATGCATTGTGGTCTGTGATTTCTTTAATTAAAGGAGTGTTTTGAGCAGCCAAGTGTACTTCAACTGTGAATGTTCCTTGTCTTATTTCTCATTTTTAGCTTCTTGACTGGATCAATAAAACCCTACCATGGCTGAAGGACAGATCAAGTGATGGGACACTGGGTGATATGCAGGTATTTAGGAGAGGTTTCAATTTTTCCCTCTATTAACCTAATATTTTGAAAATAATGACATGTTGGAACAGGAATAATTTAATCTTATGGAAATTTCTCTGTGGTTAAATTTTAACAGTTTTAATAATCAGATTTGAATTCTATTTCCAGAAAAAGCTTGATGCTCTTCGTGTGTACCGAAGAAGTGAAAAGCCTCCCAGAGTAGAAGAAAAAGGCATGCTGGAGACAAATTTCAACACATTGCAGACCAAACTTCGCCTTGGAAATCGACCTGCATACCTCCCAACAGAAGGGAAAATGATCAGTGTAAGTCATAATGACCAGCTCACTCACTGGTGAATCAAACATTAAGGTTATGAGATTAAAGAGAATGATCACCAACTAAAGGTGATTTTTAAACAGATTCTCCTTGTCAGTACCAAGAGAAATGTATAGAGAAGGGTATTGAGAATAGACATACTGATACTTAAAAATAGATACAACTCAAAGACTAACTTATGTGCAACTTTATCAGGTGATGCGCATTCTAACTTTATGAGCCAAGAAAATATCACCACTCTCTAGGAATCATTGGAGTAGCCTCTGACCATTACTTCCAAATATTTACATGTTTACCCAAATTTTAGTGAGCTAATAACAGTCAAGAACAAGCCAATAATAATAAGACATCTACTAATTATTACTTAACTACAGTACACACAAAATGATCATTAAATTCCTAATATATACCTACAGGACATCAATCGTGCATGGGGAGACTTAGAAGGTGCAGAGAAAGATTTTGAAGATTGGTTGTTGAAGGAAATGAGAAGGTAAAAGTTTTGTGCACAGACTTTTTTAACACCTAGCTCATAAAAACTAAAGAAATGGTCTGGTAGCAAGTGAAAGCTCTGAAGGAAGAAAACAACTCCTGATGTATGGGTTATTGACTGCTTTAACCCTGATTTAATGCAATGTACTGGTAATATTTTCAGCCATTTCCTTTTATATGCAAGGTAGAAATTTCAAATTACCATATTTAACCGTATATAATATGTGCCAGTGTATAATACGCACCCTGATTTTTGACCAAATTTTTCATAAAAAACGTTTTCACAGTGAAAAACACATTAATTCTTCCTACAACTGACGTTTCACAGTGGTAAGTTTCGTTGCCATTTTGAATTTCTGATCACTTGTGATTACAGTAATACGGTACGATTGTGATGTTTATCTCTTCAGCTGTTTCTTAAATACTCTACTAAATTTATTCATGGATCAAAATTGAAAATATTTCATTGGTAGATTATTTGACTCAAGCTAATAAAGACCAATTACTACGAGGCTTTTGTTACTTTCTTAGTTGTGGTTGTGGATCAAAATTGAAAATGTTTCATGGGTAGATTATTTAACTCAACCTAATAAAGACCAATTATTATTAGGCTTTTGTTACTTTCTTTGTTGTGTTTTTAACGTATGCAAATTAGGATGTGCTTGAAAAACAATAGAAACTGTGTATAATACGCACCACAATTTTGATGGTTATTTTTATAGAAAAAAGTGTGTATTATACATGGGTAAATATGGTATATTGAAATGATAACAATTTGATAAATTTTGTTCTGAAAAGGATGGAACGACTTGACCACTTGGCACAAAAGTTCAAACACAAATGCAATATTCACGAAGCTTGGACCAGTGGAAAAACTGACATGTTGAAGAAAGATGATTTTGAAAATGCTTCACTAGCTGACATTTTGGTAAATAAATTTTAATTTGTTTCAAACAGTACTTAAGGTCAGTTCGTAGAATGTCATTATCACTCTCATTATCTCCGTTGCTGTCATTATCATTATCATTACTGTTATCACTGTTGGCATTTATTTCTTTATTTCTTTGAAGAAGGCAGGGAATTGTAAAAATTAAGTGTGCTTACCTTTATGCATCAATATTTTTCAGGCTTTGAAGAAAAAGCATGAGGCATTTGAGAGTGATCTAGCAGCCCATCAAGACCGGGTGGAGCAAATAGTTGCAATTGCTCAGGAGCTTAAGTAAGTTTTAAGTTTTAAATGTTATTCTGGACAAATAAATTTTTATGGATCATCATCTTGTGAAAAAACAAATTAAATTGATTTTAGGATAATCTTTGACCCCTAGACTTGTGTCAGGGTAAAATTGTATCAATATAGGCTTCAAAATAGGATGCTTTGCATCATATTCAAATTTTTATCTCCCATAAAAAAATTAATTGAGTGCTTTAAAACACAATCCCTGGACTTAGCTTATTTGCTAATTTATTAGCTACCAAAGACAAGTACTTGGTGTAACTGTGATAAAAAATTAGTGTTTGATTGTTTTCAGTGCACTTGGATACAGTGGAGTAGCCTCTGTTAATGAAAGGTGCCAGGTATGTTCTAGTATTATAAAACAGTTTTCAACACTTGCTTTGGGGTTTCTTTGTCATTTATATGAAATTACTAAATAGCCACTCTCAAAATACAGTGACACAGGTTGCAATGAAGTAAGCTACTAATCACATTGGAGGTTATTTCTCAAAGTTTAAACATATTCCCTTTGCCTATAAGAGCAATTTCTACTTCTCTACAACTAAACTTTTTAATGCGAAAAGCTCCTTTGCCTTGCTTTACTCTTCAGAAAGAAGTATGTTTAAAAACAGAAACAAAATATAAAATATATTTATATTGTTCAATGTGGTTGCATTGCTGATCCTAGTAGGTTGCAGAATGCTTGTCAGATATGAACCCAGGTCTCAGTAATAGCCAGGCTCATCATGGAGTTCCCAGTAACTCTTTGGCAGGCATACAACCTTGAAATTGAGAGGTTTATGTTTTGAATACTCCTGCACCTTAGATTTGAAAATTCCTCCATTCCCACTGCTTTGGTCACTGATTAAAAGTAAGAGTGTGTGCAAACATTTTACATATGCCTTGATTTAAGAATTGGATCTTTGTTTCACTTCTAATTGTAGCAAATCTGTGACGAGTGGAAAGACCTTGGACAGCTAACAGAAGATCGACGGAAAAAACTCGAGGTATGTTAAAAAGGCTGTTAGTGTTGATCAACTTTCCAACAAACTCACTGCAGGTAAAGAAAATGATTTAAAAGGGAATTTACCTTGACAAAAATTATTTAGAGGTAACAATGTGATCATTGATTGAATGACAGTTTGCCCTCAACATAAATTTATTTTTCCATTAATAAACTAATTAAAGTTCTTTATGCAGGTTATTGTAAGGGTTTGAATCAACTTTTTTACCTTTGTTCCCTAGGACCGTGAAAGAGACCTGGTACAACTGGACAATTTGCAGTTAGAGTTTGCTAAAAAAGCTGCGGTAAGAGACATTACTTTATTGCCAGCTTAACTATTTATCAGATATTAGCTGCTTTTATCATGAAATAAAAATTGTATACTCTAAATTAGCCCCTGTGCACTTTTTTCAAATTTATGCTACAATGGGGTTGGCTCAACTGAAGAGATGTGCTGATTTAGTTTTCCGAAACTACAGCCAGACAAAATGGTTGTTTGCTAATGCTGTTTACCAGCTGCATGCAAACAGCAACATAATTTGTGAATTAGCCCCTTTAAATTCTGAAAATGACCAGCATTTAATTTCTCTTTACAGTGATACTGTTGAATCATTCATTAATATCATGAGAATAGACGAAATGATCACCAACCTAGGAATCTTTGATTTTTGCACAAATTCTCCTTTTCAGTACCAAATTAAATGTATAGAGAAGAGTATTGAGAGTATGGATACTTTTATGATAGAGTGTATAGGTTGATATACAACACTGATCCTACAGTTTTCTTAGTGGCGCAGTTGATACTGGCAGTTTTATTTCCTAACCTTACAAGTTTGTTTACTAATCTTAGCCAGAAGTTATGTAGTTTTCTGTAGGTCTGATTTTCTCTCACAAATGCATCTCTTTTTTTCGGTTTTTTTTTTAAAGCCATTCAACAACTGGCTTGAAAGTGCACGAGAAGATTTAATGGACATGTTCAGTGTGCATACTGTGGAGGAGGTTGTGGTAAGAAAAATCTTAATTCTAACTTAAAGGTTGGAGACCAGGTGCTGTTTAAAAACCGGTGGCCAATCAGAAGTTTCTCCTTTCAATATCAATACGTTTTCAAGTAGAAAAGTGATGGGAGGAAAGGTGAAAATCTTAACCAGGAGATGTTGTGGGATTAAACTCTAAATTCTCTGAACTTAAATTATAAGAAGTGTAAGACAGACAGTGTGGAAAATTGTTATCAAGATCTTAGGATAAACAGACAACTGCATTTTGGTTTCTGATAGGAATTGCAAGATGCCCACAAGTACTTCAAGGACAACATGCCAGCTGCGTCAGATGAGTATAACTCCATTATGAAGTTAGGTGAAGACATTGAGAGACTGACTGATCAGGAAAACCCCTACACCAGCCTTACTAAACAGGTAACAATTCGGTTTTGCGTCAGTAATTTAATTTTGGAGTGTCAGAGACCAAGCACTGTTAATAAAATAACAATATCACCCCGGTGTGTATTAAGTAGCTTTCACTTACCGTTGACCTTTTCATCATCTTTTTTCCCAGCAAATTAATCCGCACTTGTATCTTGAGAGGGCCTGACCATATTTATTCAATTAAACGCCGCCCTCGAATAAACGCCGTATTTTAGAGCAAAAATATTCATTAAAGCCGCCCTCGAATAAACGTCGCATCATCATGCGGCGTTTATTCGAATGATAGACTCAAAAAGCACACAGCGATCATTGCTTCGATCGCAGTTGGAAATTTTTAGTGGACCAGACACGGATCCTTTTGAATGTACCAGTTCTGATGTCCAGAAAGCATATCCGCCACAAGATCTTTATTCACTTCATGTATTGCAGTAGTACTAACATGCGAATTGTGAAATTTAGAGCATTGTAAAAAATGACTTTTTAGACAAGCACTAAAACATGTTTCTGCTCTTTACAATCAAAATGGTCAGTTACCATACTATTGTTTGGACTTTGAACAAATGCTGCCCTCGAATAAACGCCGCCCTCGAATCACAAAAAATTTAATAAACGCCGCGGCGTTTAATCGAATAATAACGGTATTGCCTTGAGTATGCCTCTGAACAAGTTTAAGAATGCTATAAAAATCAATTATCTTTGTTTTTCTCTTTGAAAGGAAATCATGCTTGCATGGAGTGAGGTCAAAACTCTGGTACCAAAGAGAGACGAGCTGCTTGAAAATGAGAAGGAAAGACAAGAACGTATCTTTCACTAAATTTCAGAAATGACTTTTCCATTTTTTTTCTTTAAATGGACGATATTTTTCCGAACTTCTTGTCTTTGAAACTGTTTTACTCAAAGTGCTAAATTTTTGAAGTGAAAATTTCGCGGTAAGGAAAGTGTTACGGGGGGAGCTCGAGCAGAAGCCGTTTCTTATAATCGCAAATAACAATTTACTTCGGAAAGATATATTCCTTAACAGACGAAAGGAAACGAGAGACTTCGGTTGGAGTTTGCACAAAAGGCTAATCAAATCGGACCATGGATCAAACGGAACGAGGAGGAGTTACGGTCGATTACTTTGACATCCAATGGACCTTTGGAGGTATGTTGTTGCATCGCCATGGCAGTAGTAGGCTTTGTATTCTGAAGCGATGATAATAATGAAGTTCATAACACTTGGCAAAATGACAATGGAGCAAAGTCATCTAGTGGGAGCTTATAGGGCTCTAATGGTCGTTGGTCATTGTCAAAAATGCACCCTCACGTAGTATCTTAAAGTTCTCGCGTAGTTTTTTTAGCGGCTGTTCCTCCGCAGTCGTAAGAGTGGGGACGGTATTCTAACTAGGGGCTGGCAGAACATAGTGGGAGCCAGCCCCTGGCATCCACTTTCCATTCCAGTAATGTGGGTAGTAATGAATACAAAGGCTCATGGTATTGTTATCATAACCAATAACAGGAACAACTGCAAGCTATACAAGCACTCGAAAGAGATGTTACCAGCCACAAGCCTCAAATGGATGAGTTAGAATTGGTTAACCAGGTAAGAAATTAGGTCCTCATTATTAACGTTGCAGAACGCTCGTCTCTCCTCCCTCGAGAAGATTTGAGACGAGTCGAGGAGAGGTTTGCTGGGGTCTGGCACTAATATTATCAGTCCTAGACTGCTTGTAGAATTCTTTTCGGCTCACGTTGCTCGAGTCCACTTGTTTGGAACCATTTTCTTTGACTTGCAAACCACTCTTCAACTCAAAGCAGAAAAATATTTGCTCGATTAAAAAAAAGGCAAAAGATACATTAATTTGTCGGAAAGGAACATGTGATTGAGGAAGTGAATGCCTCTTTGTATTACTTTAGATAAAGGAGGGGTTAACACTCTTATTTACAAAAACGGCGTTCTCTTTTCAAAAGGGTAAGATTTCGCCTTTCCGTCTTAAGCCTTGAAAACTATTAAATTTTTGAAAACGTTCTTATATTTACAGGATGTCCAAGAAGCTTTGATCTTTGAGAACCCCCATACAGAGTACACTATGGAAGTAAGCATGATCAATTAGTTGAAGCCAACAGGGTCTCTGTTGTTATAACCAAGCTATGTCTACCTGTAATGTCAAGTGATGGACTAGCGCATTTCAAGTGACTGCCATAAACCATGATTGGTTAAAGCTTGAATGAATAAATAACTATGAATTTTTATCTTTTTATGCAGGCCCTTCGGGTTAACTGGGAGCAGCTGCTAACCGCCATCGCTAGAAACATCAATGAAGTTGAAAATCAGGTTGGAATTCAGTTAAACGTTCATTGGATGAATAATTGAAAATATTGTGAAGCTGACATCGTGGATAAATCGATTGACAATGTCTTTTGCAGTTCGTTTCGCCTCCTGATTGACTTTTGATAGCTTTGTTTGACTTAGTTTTGGTTAAGGTAACAATTGAGGACAGCAAAGGGAAAATCTGCTTCCTTTTCTCTGCCATTTCTATTAAAAACAGTGTGTTTCCCAAACTTTGTTTAGGCAAAGTGTTTTTGTATTCGCAGATTCTAACAAGGGATTCCAAAGGTCTCTCAGAAGAACAGATGAAAGAATTCAGAAATTCATTCAACTTTTTCGATAAGGTTTGCCATACTTTGATACTGGAGAGATAGGATCATAGCTTATTGCACTATCCCTTTGGTATGCGTTTGTAGTTAGTCTAGTGTGTGCGCGCTATGTAAACCAACACCGTGATGTGACATCACGTTTCATGGATATTTACATGCACATTAGTCCAAGAAATTTTTGCACAACTGAAATAGTAAAGAAATAGTAGGCGAATGTAATGAAAGTTGTCGGTGGTATATTATGAAATCAAAGGTTACATTTTAAATATTATTTCGTCGTATTTTTATCGCGTTAACTTTTGTTTTGTTTTCTGTTTGTTTGTTTGTTTTTTTTAGGATGAAAATTCGCGACTTGAGCCTCATGAATTTAGACAGTGCTTGGTCAGTTTAGGACACTCGCTTCCTGAAGGAGATAAGGTTTGTGAACTTGAATGGTGGGTATTACCTCGCGGACTTTATTTGATCCGAGATGCGAACAGCTTTTCAAGGCGTGGTAAAATCTTAGCTTTTAGGGCGCAGCTTAGCAAAACCAATGCAAAACGAAGCGCACAGAGCGTATCAGAGCAATGTGAACGCAAGTGAGAGCCACAGAGCTACAAGGACCAGTTAACACTAGAATTAATGCGATACATTTTGCTCATGGTTGTGAACAGGAAAAAAAAAACATGGAGTGCGTATTATTTGAATAATTGATATTCTATTATATCTTATATATTATGTTTATATTATTAATTTATTAAATCCCACAGGGTGACGTAGAGTTCAATCGACTCATGACAATTGTAGATCCAAACAACACAGGTTTCGTGACTTTCCAAGCATTCCTTGACTTCATGACGCGTGAAGTAGCTGATACGGATACCGCTGAACAAGTCATGGAGTCATTCAGAATCCTTGCTGGGGACAAGGTGACCCTCTATCTCTCATGATATTATTTTACATTTACGTCCCTTGTCCCATTTTCTGCTTGGTTTATGTCGTCGGTGGTTGAACAGCTTCTTGTTCGTATTTTACTTTATTTGTCGCGGAAAAATTTTAACCCTTCAATCCCTAAGTGTGACTAGAGTCTAATTTCTCCTCACAATATCACCTCTGACTCAAATATTAAGGTGACGAGAACATAGGAAATGATAACCCACTAAAAAAGCTCTTGATTGATAAACAAATGCATACTGATGATAGGGTGTAAAGGCTAATGACTAAAAGTGAACAATCAGTTCCTGTTTCTGCTCGCGTTCGTGAAAATGTTAATACATATATTTTTTGTTCTGTTACAGCCGTTTATCACTACAGAAGAACTGAGACGCGAATTGCCACCGGATCAAGCTGAGTATTGTATTGCTCGAATGGCTCCTTATGAGGGACCTGACGCTGTGCCAGGTGCTTTGGACTACATGTCCTTCTCCACAGCACTCTATGGCGAAAGTGATTTGTAAACACTTTTATGGTATTGTAATGTGAGGGTGGTGTTACTGGGGCCAGTCTGGGGTGACTGTAGCCTTTCAGTTTGTTTGTAGTTTCCAGACAGTATGCTTGTGTCTTCTATACTCTGTGTAGAGAAAAGAGGTTGGAAAGGATAAGAATGACATTGAGGGCAAACGTCAAAACTCAATTTTCTTGCTGTCTCCTTGCAGCCGTTTTTATTCAGAAGTAACAATACTTCCATAAACTATGAATAAGAGATTTTTTAAACTACATGCTTGATTTAAGAAGTAATCGAATTCTGTGTAAAACGAGAGTTAAGTTTTGCCGTTTGCCGTAACCGTAAACTTAACAATTAAATACACTAAAGGCAGTTCGTAATACTTTGTATGGAACCTTCGCTCATATTTTGGACAGAAAACTTTGACGAATTTTGAACGTTGAAGAACACTTCAAATGTAGATCGAAATATATATTTTGGTGAACTAGAGCATGTTAAAGTAAGGTACAATTGGCTGCTTCGGTCTGCTGCTTGTTTTTCCTTTCAGTTTTGGATTTTTCGGACTTCAGACTGAATTGCGTTGAATGAAAAGCTTTTTCTGGCGATGAATATCGGTAGCAGGGGTCGAAGTCCCGTTTTATGGTATTCTACATTTCTACATTCAGCTATTTTTTGTCGAGTGGTTTATCACCCATCAGCTTATTACTAGAAACTAAAGAATTCATTTTAATTTCTGGCCCAATTCATAAGGAAATGCCACGTAAGATAAATGTAGAATAGGTATCAATTGTTCTTCTCTTCTATCGAGTAGTGTGTGTAGGCAGCTGTCAGTATTTTGATTACCTAACTGTATTAAACTGCAGTGATGAATATAAATTTATATAAACTTACTATGTGTCTGTTGATTTTTGACTGCCGTTACGTCAATTCGTTTCCAAGGTCTTGTCTTTACCCTGAAACACTACCTACCCCAACCCCCAACCCCTCGAATAAAACGATGGTTAAGACTAAAGACTTCTCAACGCTTGTCTCTTTTTCAACCTCCCTATGATTGTAAAGCAATGGTCCTATCCAGGAGCCCCCTAAGGGTCCCTTAGCGAAGACATGCCATTGGTCTCATCAAGGAGCCCCCTAAGGGTCCTATAGCGGAGACTTACCAATGGTCCCAACCAGCATCCCCCCTAAGGGTCTCATAGCTGAAACGAAAATAAATATCAACCTGCAAAAGGGTAAGCAGATCCCAAGTGTCATTAAAAAAATCTGTAAAACGTCTTAAGATTTACATTTTTAAATCCCTAGAAGAACGGTGAGCGCACACTCCATAAATGGTTAAACCAACGCCTATCATATTATTTATTTTAAGTATCAAAGTTAAGCCTCAAAGTTAAAGTATGTACTTCGTCACGAAAACCTTACCCCTGAAATATCAATCCCGGAGAGAACAAAAATGATTTCCCCTTACAGTGTCGATACATTTTAAGCCCGAAGGAGAGGAGAAGTAAAAATATAAAAGCATTGGGATAAAGTTTGATTTAGCACCAAACTCTCATGACCAAACTTGTAAGAAATGTATGGCAGGCAGTATGGATTTTTTACTTTGAATGTTGGGTTTCATTTTGGCCTTTATAGAGAATTGCCTTTTGTAGAATGAAATTTGGAATGATTGGCGTATGTGGAAAACGCCAAAGAGGTGACGATAAATTAACGGAGGACTAGGTACGGCTAAAGATGGCGAAGATTAACTTTGGAGATAGAGGCTTAAGTTCTTAAAATGGAAAACAACAGAGACTTAGTTCTTTAAATCAGAAATCTTCCCTTAATATCTCAAGTGAGCACAATTTCTCACATCTAAGCTGAAATGTATCTTGTAGTCTTTTGAAACACAGCGGATCTCTATATCTAGTACGTATTTATACTTTACTTTCAATTTCCTTTTTCCAGTATTTTTGGTAATCCGTTCTTATATCCACTGATATCAACTTCCTCAACTGACACGAGGAATTTGCGAGGACCTCGAACTTCTCGCTGGTACGCTTCCTCCCGAAAGTTAAACAGAATCTGTACGATTTGACCGAGGGAAAAGACGAAAAAAATAAATAGACATACAACGTACCTATAAGTAATTCGTTTTTTTAATGCTTTTTTTTTTTTTTTTTCCATGGAGTGCAGTGAGGAGGAACTGAATCATCGATTCAAAACGGGTCACTCAAATGAAACTCAAGATTTAAGATAAATACCTGAAGATTATATTTTTAGAGACCCTCCCAATTATAATAGGCTTTTCCTCTAGATTCTGGTTCGAGAACAACAAATCCAAGTTCTCATTTGTTTTCGTCGCCTATGTGGCTGGCGTACCAAAGAGCGTGATGAGTGGTTGGGTGGAGGGGGGGGGGAAGTTGTATTGAATCGCGAAGGGCATTTCAGCGCGCATTGCTTTCGGCTATTTCACTTCCTGAGAGGCAGGTCACGCGTATCAGCAAATATTTGCCAAATACATCTTCAAGTTCCGTCCATTTCGCCTCCGTCGACTCACCCACGTTCTGGGTCACCTCCGAACAATGTTTGTTAGTCTTTCCTTCAACTTGCGGTTTGAAAAGCACTTACGCAAAGAGGTTGTAAAGGAATAACATCCCTGCATCTTCGCGCTTAGAATTTCAAGGCGTTGCATCCGGTGATATGATCAGCATTTATATCCTGCTCCCTATCATGGGAGTTGGAATTGTCAGAATGTTGGTGTGGCCAAAAATTCGACAAAACGCTAATATAAACGTGAAACATCGGTGGAGGTGATCGGATGTTTGCTACCACAACGAAGATTTCCGAATAATCCCGAAAATATATTCAAGGGGTATCTGAAGTCACGTGTTGTAATCATGCCGATCAAGAGTCAATCGCGGTGGCGTTAGGTCACGAATGAGAGCAGTGTGGATTAATTTAGCAATTTGCTTTCCTTCTGTCTTCGAATGAGATATTGTCATACTTGAGTCGTCGCTGCAGAATGGCATAAAAGACTCGGTAAGGACCGGAAGTCATCATCATCTGTTATTTTGGTTTGTGAGCACTGAACAGTATTCTCTATCGACTGATAAATTCCTGTCACAACTGATCTTTCGTTCGATTTACGACAAAGTTCATTGTGACCACTTGGACAAACTGACAGCTGAATCCTCCGCCTTACATGCTAAAATATTTCACATTAAGCCATGAGCAACCTTGGCAAGAAGTCGAAATGGAATTTGTCGGTTTTCATAACAAATTTAAGCACCGAAAAGTCGGTTGAAGTGAATGGAGAAACTCATGTTGGCAAATTAATGCTGGACCTCGTTGAAGGGCTAGGTAAGTGTCATAACGGCGCGCCTCTGATTCCACAGCATAACCTTTTGATCGGGTGTGGTGATTATGTCGTGTGGAAGATGTATTTCTGTTGAGCAATAGCGAAATAAAATTGTCTCGTGACTTGCAATTGTTTTTTGAGATGTTGTTGACGGTTACATTTGAGGCAATAGTTCTTGTTATGTATTGGAATTTGAAAGCAAATGAGCATCCAAAGCTATTTGGTTTGAGGTAGACATGTGTAAATATTACGATCATGTTACGGCCATTTGAACGTGCGAAAAAGGAGAACTATTTACGTTAACTATGTGCTCTTTGTTTCATATCGTCTGTCTACATTTTTACAGATATAGCAGCCGACTGGTCCGATCATGGGTTATGGTGGCCTCAAAAACGACAGTGGCTGCTTAAACCTCGATTGACACTAGATACCATTGGTGTTCAAGGAGATGCGGTTCTACAGTTTACTCCAACGCATAAAAAAGTTCGAGTACAGTTACCAGACCTGCAGTACGTTGAAGTCTCATTGGATTTTTCCAAGCCCATTTTTCACGCCGTGCAAGAACTTTGTACCGAACTTGGAATCAGGCATCCCGAAGAACTCTCTCTGTTGAAACCATACGAAGGGTTGAGAAAAGAAGGCCGGAGAAGCTTTCGTGGTAAATTAAAGAAGAGACATTCGCAGTCTTCGCTTAGTTCGGACGACAATTTATCTACTAATAGCGACGACAAAACGAGAGGAAGCAAAGATAGTTTAACAGTTCCAAATTATAATTCGCTTCCCAGGCACGGTTACTCCTCACCGAATGGCACCCTAAACGCGTCATCACCGGTTGGTTATTCAAGTTTTACGTCTGATGGGTCTTGTGGAACGATCGAATCAACAGCATTAGCGAGCAGCCCAGTCTCTCCATCAATTGAAGCTATTTCAGCATTATTTAAACCCAAAACGCTACAAGAAAAAGCTGTTGTCAACAAAGGGTATGCTTGTTTGTTTGCTATGAGAGAAAAATTCTAGGGCCCGACTTATGTTGTAAAAAGTACATCAATCTACTTTATTTAAATGTAAAATGATCTCCAACAGTCCATAAAAATCTCGATTAAATATCACTTTGTGATCTCGACTTTTGGGGTTTTGAGAAGCCTTTCTTTCATTTTCTCTCATTCCCCTTCCCTTCAGCAAACAATAGGGCCATGGAAAAGTAATCCACTGCACTCAGACCTCACATATTTCCTAAGCCTTGATTATACAGTGATGGTTTAATTTGATGTGTTCACATCTTGTGTGAATGAAAAGGGTTTTAAGCTATGAATATAAATGGCTTGATCCTGTTTTGTTGCACTGGTGTCTAAGGCTTTCTCCTTAATCCCTCATAAGACATTGATTCCTAAGGATTTTTATTTGGTGGTGTCCATACTTAGTCGTTTCAGATCTAAATTCACTGGATTCATACCCAGTTTGAGTCAGTTGGTACCCAAACTGTTGGTAGATTTGTACCCATCCCAATATATATTCATTTTGAAATACTCACACTCAAGCACATGAACAGATGTCCATCATTTTGTGGAACAAGTTTGTAGAGTCAAACACAAGCTAGTAAGATAAGAGCAAAATTCTCTTTGTATGCTTGTGACCATCTTAAAAAGAAAAACAAATGAAAGCTGTTATAAATGTGTTTTTTTCTCCTTTTGTTATCAATGGTAATAAATCCATTTACTCTTCTTTTTTTTTTTTTCATTTATTGTACTCTTCAAACACATTTAATATGGAAAACATACTGTATTAGTTTGGGTACAAAACCACTGTGGGTAACGACTGGAAACCCATTTGGTATAGCAGATTGCAAAACTACAGCAACCTGCACTGCTCTTTTGAAAAAGAATATAGTGACTATGTTCATGCTTCAAGCTTTAAGGAAAGACACAGCTAGCAATGGCAATCACAAGAAAAATCACAATTCTTTGCAATGTGTTTAGAAAACAAAACTGTTAGCCACAAGATTTCCTCTGAATAAATTGTACAAAACCATTGAAATTAATTGTAAAGAAGTTAGCACCTGTTGTAGTACAGGAATGCACAAAGGTGCATTTTTAAGTCTGTTAATGAGCTTGTATTGTGAAATAGACATTTTTAAGAAGATTGGAATTGTGATGGAAATTTTTTTCCTGTTGCAAGGCTTAGAATTTCATTCATTCACAGTTTGGTTCATTTTTGACTGTTAGTTAAGTGAAACATTTTCTTATTATCTGTCTGTGATTGCATTATTCACTGGATTAACATCCTCATATTTCATTTTGGGAATGGTAGATATAAATTTGTGTTAAAAACTGGTTACAATTAAGAACTGCCCATGTTAAAAGCAAATTTTAAAGAACTCTTTGAGCCTGTTGTTAATTTGATATTTACTGTTTTTACACTTATTTTTGTCAGATGGATGGACTCTTCAAGATCTTTAATGGCACAGGTATGTTCGTATTGTCTAATCCTGGGTTTGCCAATCAATTGTTAATTTTTTAATCTCCTAATTGTTGTGGTGTATATACCACTCTTGCTAGT